AACCTCAGGTACAAATATATAATAGAATCTTGTATATAGATGTAATCTTGTATATATCTTGTAATCTTGTAAATAGATATAATAGAATCTTCTATATAATAGAATTAACACAAATAAATTTAAGTTAACTTAATAAGTAGAAAATCTGGGCTTTTAAGTGGCTTAATCAATTACATTATTGAAAATAATAGCTATAAACATTTTTTCTTTCAGATGAAGGGGTTTATGTAAACACATATGGAAAAGTAAGCAAGAATATTGTACTCCAGTGGGGTGAAATGCCCACATCAGTGGGTAAGCTGCTTTTCTTACATCTTACCCAAACCATCAAATGAAAAAGTGTGCCCACTATTCTTTACTGTCTTAAGCCATTTCTTGTGTCTCCTTTGTGCTTTTATTGATATATTACATTTCAAGATAAGTGCATTGTAGATGTTCAGCAATGAATAGTTCTGTGTTTAATGTCAAGTTAATTTATACTGAATACTTGATAATTCATGTAACTTTAAAATATATTAGGCACTAAAATAGAATTCCCTCAAATGACAATAATTTACCTGGCTTTCTAACTAAGTCATAAATGGGTTAACTCTCTCACTACATATATATTAAAGTGTGCATATCATGATCTTTTATGGAGTTGCATTCAAAATTTAATTAAACTACTTTATTATTAATGTATATGAATAAACTTGGCATCAAAACATAGTTAATAAATCAAATTTTGATAATATATAAGTTTTAAGTTCTTAATTTTATGAGGAAATATTTTTTAAAAATCCTCAGTCTTCACTAGTAAGAGAATAGACATTTGTTCTCTAGGTCTTCCCTCTTCTCTAATTTATTTACTACTCATCTCTGAAGAATGGAATTTCACGTAAATTACTTATTATAATATAGATATTACTAAGGCAAAGTCTATTTTTTATGGCATTCAATCTTATTTGTTTACACAGCCATAAGCTAGAAAATCAGACTTTCTGATGTTTTATACTATATCATTTATAACCAATAGAAAGTCCAAGGTTTAATCTATCAACTGATATATTATGTTGCTTTCAGTACAGAGTATTGTCTATTTTATCTTCAGTTTGAAAGTTTCTTTCGCTTTGATCAGATTGAGATTACAGAATTATTTTAAGGCTCTTATGTCATAACTAGAAAGCCAGTTGAATTATGTTAGTTATAGGACATTGTTTGTTTTGTGTGTATTATTAAATTGTGTTGTAAGGTGCATAATGTAAGTAAATAAAAATTATTTAGTGTACTAGTACCATCATTATAAAAAGTAGGCTTAAAGTTCATCAGCAACCGACAGCAAAAAAAAAAAACGAGGTCAAAGGTAAGTACTATAATTCATGTTTTTCACGTATATTTTTTTACTTATTGTTAAAATCTAACTAAAATATAAAAATTAGAAATGTTTTAAGGTTAGGTAAGATAATGAAAAATAATAATAATTCTCCACAAAGTATGCTTGCAAGTAGCTTGTATGTTACATCATTCAGTATGGGAGCTTGAGCTATGCATTTGCTGAGTGATTTACAACTTGTATGATGGATTTATTAGTTGGATGTGATTCAAAAGGAAATAAAATTAAGCATAAACAGATGTAGACTGTTACATTACGGTAAGCTATTCAGATTAAGCAATAGTAGTTTTATGTTGCAATCTGTAGTCATTTTAGAAAGAAAAAAAGGGGTAATTTAGATTTATTTTGTATTTACTTATGGTTGTTACAAACTCAGTTAAATCAGCCGAGTCTGTATAGTTAGGGTAGAGAAAATAACAGATAAAATATAAAGTTTAACAGGAAAAAACATTTGATATTTATTTAGGAGGTTTTAGAGGTTACACAAATAAAATTTTCAGATGAAGAAAAGTTTTTTAATTTTAACATTAAAATCATTTTGCACTAGGAGCAGTCAACACTCTGACTCCATATTTTACAGACAAATCTTCAGAAGAATATTTAATTAGATAATATGATTTTTTGTGTACAAAAGACTTGTAATGCTTATTGAAAGCTTGCAACATTTCTGAAGATACACGAAACATATTAAAAGTTATAGTATGGAAACTCTGATGGTTACTTTAGGGTTAAAAGGTCGACGTAAGCTACTGACCCCATATGGAAAGAGTTAAAAGATTGCCATTACATTTTGGAGCTCTGGTTTCAGTCTACACATACATCAAAGTCTACTTGCAAAATAGCAGCTTTCACTGGGAAAATGGCCCGGCATGGCCAGGTGGTTAGAGTGCTTGACTCGCAATCTGGGGGTCATAGGTTCAAATCCCCATCACACCAAACAAGCTCGCCTTTTCAGCCATGGGAGCATTATAATTTGATGGTCAATCCCACTATTCGTTGGTAAAAGAGTAGCCCAAGAGTTGGTGGTGGGTGGTGATGACTAGTTGCCTTCCATCTAGTCTTACACTGCTAAATTAGGGACGGCTAGCGAAGATAGCCCTCGTGTAGCTTTGCGCGATATTCAAAACAAACAAACACTGGGAAAACAAACTATTAGCAGAATCACACAGTTCACAAAATGGCTTTTCTATTTGGTTATAAATTTGTAGCATTGACAAACAGCCATGAACAAATAAGTGATTTCAAAATTATGAAGAGTTGGGAGGAGCTTCTGTGGTGGGTATGATAAATATATTGATATATTAGAAAATAAAGATGGAAGGTTCTTATTTGAAATTTTAGTCTGTCAGTACCTGTAATTGATTATTTAATTTTAAGTTTTCTGAAACCCATAAAGGGAAGGAAGGAAATCTAAATCAGAGAATTTGGTCACATGACACAGAGAAGTGAAGAATGAGAACTTATTTCCTTTTGAAATTAAGAAATTGAAACTTAGATAATTTAAAAATATGAATTATAAACTGTGTTTTCATTTAAGCCAAATTTTTTTTGACACATTGTCAATAAAGTAGTTTAAATTTTGAATGTAAAAAGGTTGTGGTATGTGCACTTTGATACCACCTGTATCCAAAGTGTTAAACCCTAACGTTATTGTTAGAATGTTAACTATTTCACTGTATGAGGTGGCACTGATTTTTAATTGTGTAGTTGTAAAGAATACTTAATATAAGAAAAAGAGTAGTTTATGTAATATTGAAATTATGTTCAGATACGTGAGTTCTAAAGGTAAAAAAAAAGTAAAATCTTACTTTTACTGACATTATATCAACTCACTACTTTGTACGTTGTTTTTTTTATTATTATAATAGCAGGCTCCCGACCGCACATCATGGGGCTGATACATCTTATATATTTTGAATGTTTCTCAATCTAAAATATAAAGTACTTTTGCAGTTTCAAGCTGCTAAGTCGATATTTTAAGCTCAGTTTTTTTTTTGTTTAGTTATGCACAGTTTCTTTAACTCTGGATCTTTCTGCCTTTTTATTTCCTTAGGGATCCTAACATTGTGTTGCTCTTAATATTAGTTTGCCTCAGCATCTCTTGCTCCAGCAAGTTAAGAAATTCTGTTTCTCCTACAGCTATATATATATATTTTTTTTCAAAGTTATTGACTAGTTGGTCTTTTTTGGTTTCATCAAAGTCAATGGCATAATAAGCAAGATAATGTAAAGGAAGCCTTGGCTTGTTGAGCCTTGTATTTGATTGTTGACCAATCATAGGTGAATGGTTATAAGTAATCTCAGTCTTTGCTGTGACATGTTTGTTGTTTTAGTACATACAGTACTTTTTCTGCAGTTAGTCTTAGACTACAATTACATTTAAGTTGGCCATCAATAATTTCCTTTTACTGTTCGTTTTTTTTTCAAAAACTGTAATTTTTCTAGTCTTAACTACGTTATTAGAATGAACAGAAATGTATTATTTTCTTAAACATGAGGAATGGTACTCTTAACTCTCTCCATCACTGTATAAATGTAATATAAATCACTATATTTCTTTTTTGTCACTTGGAGTTTGTACAGTAGATTTTAAAATGAGAAATATAGTTTGTTTCAAACACACTATTAATTTTAATAAGCTGTTATACTTTTGCTTAAATAAAATGTAACTTTACATGAGGTTATTGTGTTTTGAAACATGCATACCATATTTTATTTTTATATCATTATTTAGTTTTTTTCATCTTTTGCCTGGACTTACCAAGAAATTAAGAATGAAAACATAAATTGTATTAAAAAATTAAAAATCCAGAGTAACCATATAGTTCCTCACTAACATCAGAAGCCATTATGATTTTGATCTAGTCACGAATATAAACTGCTTGCAGTTGTTTCTGGTTATAACTTCATCAAGTTTATATAAATTGTATGTTTTGTTATTTCTATGCTCATATTAGTGATGAGTAAACTCATCTGTTTTTATCAACATTATTGAGAAAATTCAGTGATAAAAAAAAAAAATCAAAATATCTGAGCTAAGTAGATATTCTTGGTTTTCACAAATGTTTACACTGATGTATTTCTGATACCAATGCTACATTGGTTATTTATATACAAAGATCTGTATAGGCTTTAACTTGCATATGTTCATCTTTACTAGGTAATATTATTGCAGTGTTTTCTTTTACTAAGGTTGCCAGTGATCGGGCATCATGTGGTATTTTTTACTGTCGTCACAGTGACTTTGTACAATTAATACCGTATTAGTACAATGGACCTTAAATTCAATCTCATGCCTGGTTTATTTTGTTATGTTTAAGTTTTGTTTGCATCTTTTATTAATACAGAAAGAATGTCTGTTAGATTAGCTTTGATAAAAACACTTCTTCAGAACCCCCACTCAAAATCGGTGACAGTGTACTAACAGTATGAAATGATATAATTTTGGGCTTCAACACTTTATGGTATAATCATCTGTTTCATCATACTCTCATACTTGGGTGCATGTCTACAATACCACTTATAGAAATCATTTGTATTAATATTGTTCAACTGTCAGATTACTGACTTGTTTTTATACTGTTCACTGCTAGTGACATTCACTTATTGTGTTGTTTTGAGTAACTGTGTTTTTTGTCTGTTACAATATGTATTGTAAATAACAGATCAAAAAGAATTAATGAAATCACTCATCCTCTGTGTACATAGGGGAGCCTAGCATTAATTGGTGGATTCAACTGTAATATTCAAGTTGTTTTTGTTTAAATCTTTACAATTTTTTTGTTCAACTCGTAGTTTGTAAAGTAGTTTGGAAAAATGTTTTTGAAAGTATAGAGATGGGAGGTACCATATTGACTTTATTGGTAATTCTAGGGTTATTATTAACCTAAATTATGGTTTTTAATGTTTGGCTTCTCTATTTTTTATCGTAAAAGCTGTGTATAAAATATTGGGTGATCACTATAGTCAATTTTTTGAAGACTTCTAAATTTGAATCATATAGCATAGTATTTAAAATTGTCTTAGAATTGACTGTAGCTCTGTCAGATGATTAAGGAACTGCCATAAGATTTGTTTTCTGGCAGGGGGAAAGTTAAGCTTTTAAATCTGCATAGTAGAACATTAGACTGTGTTGTTTATTGTACTGCGTAATATATAATATAAAGTAAAAGATTTTGAACATTTATTATCAGATAGTGACTATAAACTTGTATCAGTGTATAAAGAAAATAATAAAAATAACTTTTTTTTTAAAGCTTATATTGGCACAGGCCAAGTCATGGGCTGGGGAAATAAAGCCATAGAAATTCGTAATGTAGAGACTGGGCATTTGGATGGTGTTTTTATGCATAAAAAGTCTCAACGACTTAAATTTTTATGTGAAAGAAATGATAAGGTGAGTCAAATATTTTTTTATTTTACCTTTTATGTTATGGTTATGCTATTAACTTAACTTTAAGTACCATTTTATCTGAAGCATTATTGCCATAATGAACATACATATACTTGTGTTTAGAGTAAAAAGGTTAAATTTATTAAATTGTTTTATTAGAATGTGTATATAGGTCGAATTCCTAGGAGGATATAGAAGTGATAATTTGGCACAGTTTTTGGTACCTTCATTATCTGTTATCTACTCTTTTGTTTTAGTATGCATTTATGCTTTAATGATACTTGTCAATGAAGCTTCAAATAAATTCAGACAGACAGGCTGAAAAACAGTATTACTTTTCCAATGTTGATAATATAAACACAGTTCAGTCTTTGATTAGAAAATTGTGTGTGTGTGATAAATAAAAGTATGTTTTAATAATGGGTGTAATTGACATTCCTCAGTTTTCTTTTCCTTCTCACAATGGAAATTATGTTACTCTTGGTTGAAACTTATTCAATAGTATCTAGTTTTGGCATACAAAACATGTTTTGAAGTACATTTTCTATAATTTTTTTAAGTTGTTAAATTACCCTGACTTGTTTTAGAGATATTATTTAAAAAAAAAGATTAAAACACTTTTTTATCTTAAATTTTGTTGTTGTTGTTGATCAGAAATTTCCATTTTATATCTCCAATCAGTTTCAGTTTGATTGATAGTTATTAACACATCTCTCTTGATATGTTAATTTATTGATTCCAGTAGTCACCATTTCTGGCTATAACCCAAAACAACACAGCAAAGACTGACAAAAAATTTATCAGTGACCTGACCTGTTAAAATGGTGCCAGGTCAAGCTGGGTATCAGTATTTTTACTACCAATATTCTTGGTTGAGGTCAATTTATATCTAATAAATTTAATTCTTTGTTAATAAATGGAAGTTAATTTACTTATCTAAATTATTTTAATAAATAAACTTAACAATAATACTCAATAGATAAGGATTTGAGTCATCAGGATATTTTCCTGTTGCCTACCTTACTATCTAATACTTGCTTTCAAGCAAATATAATTGAATGCAAAAACATTTTCAGGAATGAAAAGAACGTCTAAAGAAACTGCAAGAAAAAAGTACCAGTTCTGGAGTTTGTTTTTAAGTCTTCTAAGCTCTCATTATGTTCTGTTGTTCATCCTTTTAGGAGCTAGGTGTTGTCATTTTTTGATTAAACCATAAATAGCTCCTCACATGTTGATCTAAATAGTGTATAGTCTGCTCTAACCTAAGGTATGTAAATTTTGCCAGTAACTATTTTCAAAACTGAGCTTCATTAGTAGTTGTCCACTTGACATGCAACAAGGTCATAAAAGGGTGTGACTGAAAAGCCGTACTAATAAAATCTGAGAAATTAGCCCATTGTGTGGCTTTGAGCTTAATTTAATAAAATGAGGAGTCTCTCAGATTTCATTTTTGTAAACCTTCTCATCATGAGTGCAGCAAATTTCTTGATGCAGCACTAAAATTTGGAATTGCCCAATGCCCCTGCCACTAAAATAGTTTTTGGAGTACAACTTGGAGGGTTTACTCATAATACTGAGGTTTGGTGGTATGTTCTTTCAGTTTGAGTAATTTTCTGATTTTTTAACACAGTTTTGAATTTTTTTAATCTTGTGGTTTTGTCATTATCCTTTGTACTTAGTTATTTACAGTTTTTTTTTTAGTACAGATTTGAAAATTTCCTTGTAATACTGAGTTCTTTTGAGAACTTATTGTAATATTGAGCTTTTATGATACATCCTTCAGTTAAAGTTCTTATCTGATTTCTTTTAATATAGTTTTGAACATTTTTTGTATTACTGATTGCATTAGAAGTCATTTGCTGAGGTTTTTGGTAAAGTTTTGAAAATTTCCTTGTATTACTGATACACCCTTACAATTGAATTAATTTTATAATTTAATTGTATTTTATTTGTTTTATTATTATAGGTATTTTTTTCTTCTGCCAAAAGTGGTTCTTCATGCCAGATCTACTTCATGACCCTAAATAAGCCTGGAATGGCTGTCTGGTAAATCCCAATAACCAGTGTTAAAGTACCAAAATTCCTATGGGAATTTTATAATTGTGTACTGTGTTATTATTTTTAATTAGGTAATTACATTGTGGGCAGTAAGTGAATTTAGGGTCAAGCTTAGTCAATTTTGCCTTAAATTTGTTTTTTGTGTTATTTTCTAATTGCTCAAGAATTAAAAATTATTAAGATGCAATCTTTTGTAAATACTAATACAAAATGGCATACCCAGTTTTAGATTCTTCATTTTTACTATAACTCATAACTTCTGTGAATTAAGTTACACATAGACTGTCAGGCTTACGCTCTCATTGTGGTTTAGCGACATTTGTAGGGATCTGGACATTTAGTTACTGGACATTTCTCTACTACCACATTGTTACTAGGACAACTTGTGTTGGGTGCATTCTTACATCATTTTTGTGACATGGCAATTTTTGTTATGAATACTGATTTTTGTGACAGATAGTTTTTAAGATATAAAATCGATTGGTAACAATAATAAAAAAATTACAATAGATCACAAACTGTACAATATTTTGGGGACCATTTAAATATTACATAATGCTATTGGGGCGAGGTGGTGGTGCCCTCTGGTACTTGAATTAGGTGTTGAATCTAGTAACAAAATTAAATAATCACAAAAAACACTTGTAATAAAACCTTTTGCAACGAAGTGATGGAAACTTGAATGCTGTAATGAAATGTTTTTCGTGACAAAAAGTCCATGTCACAAGCTGTCTGTAACAAAATGTACCAGATTTCATTCATAACACAGCCAAGTTCATAATTTTTGTACATGTTCATGATTTTGGTTATGCTGTACTTTTTTCGTCACCAAAGTATGAGTGGGAGGAAAAGTCACTATGTATAGATAAGAGTGTATTAAAAAAAAAAGATAAATTTCTTGAACTGTGTAAGGTACATTTGTTTATTTGGAAATAAGATCTCTTCTATAACTTCTTACCTGTTTTTCTGAGTAAATCCTGAATCATCAAATTCTTGCAGTGTTAAGCTACTAGTAGAATATCAAGTACAAAACTTCATCTGCAAACATTTTAGAACGTATAATCTATAAATTCAATAGCTTGTTAGATCATCGTTTCTTCTGTATGATGAAAGGGTAAATTCAAGAAAAATAATAATCAGTAATAGATGATGTTAAAATAAATATAGTGTTAAAAAGATCTTTACATAAATTCTGATGTGTTGTGACATAAATAAAATTACACTTCATAACAGTTGTTGTGGAGCAGTTTGGTAACATAAGTAATGTCTCAACCATTGCTATGTCTGATGTATCAAAACTGTTCTGAAGAGCCCTGTTATTGGGCAAAAGTCCTCTTCAACACTAAACTTTCACTTAGAAGTTCATATTAATGAGTATTCAAACAAGAAAATTTTCTTAATATAGTATTATAAATCACGCTGTTTATTTTTATAATAATTGGCAATAATTTACTGGCTAACCTCTTTTCATCCATTTTTTTTTGTTCTGTGCAGTTTGTGTAAAGCTTAGAAACCATGGTAGTAATTTTTGTGCATGGATTATGTGTGTGAAATACTTAAACTGTTTACTTAGTTGTATCATTGCTGTTTATTAGAAGAATATTGCTAGCTGTCAAATTAAGATTGTAGTGTTTAAGCAACTGGTATCAGATTTCTATTTCACGAATTAGGAGAAACTTAAGAGATGTTATTTTATTTAATCTCATAATCAGTTTCAACCAAGTGGGTGATTTTTTAAAATACTAGTGTGCTATGGGATCTTAGCTGTACCACATCAGTTTTCATTTGTACTGTATGCTTTGATATATAACCAGAGATCATGGTAAAGCTATAACTATTCCTAGAGTGCTGTTAAGCTTTTCTCATTTAGTTAGCTTTGCAGACAAGCTGATGTGTTGTACAATGATGCTTTATTATAGTAATGATAACTTGGATTTCATGTTGAGCTGAGTAAAACAGTACATGTGTATAGTGCAGATTTTAGGTCATTCGAAAATCTCTTATGTTTTTGTGTTCGTAACAGCATTAAGTGATTTGTTGAATAAAACAGAACTTTTGCAGTAAATTAATGGCTCTGTATTTTGAGCTATGTTAACATAAAAAGTCCTGCTTTTAATATTTTTCAAGTTAGAGGGAAGTTGTTTATTTTCTAACAGTATCAGTTGTTCTTAGTGAAAAAAGAAAAATATCTAAATTGTGTGAAACTCAGAATTAAGTTTTTTGATTAAAAAAATCATGTCACATGTATTGTAGTTCATTTTTACAGCTGTCACCTCGTAGTGACCTAGTTTTATGAATATTTATAGAAGATTAATGATAAAAAGCAAAAAAAAATTATACCGAGAATGGTGCCAACGATATTGTGTAAATAGATGAAAAAGACATGAATTTTTATGAATCTAGATGATGCTGTCTTCCATCACGTTTTGAAACACATACCTTCTATCTTTTTTATAAAAGAATATGAATAAAGTAAGCTTTCTAAAATAGAATTTCTATATTTTTCAGATCGTTATAGGAGTAAATAAAAAAAACAAATTTCACTTTAAAAATAGAAAAACAAAATATTTTTGCTTTTGAGTCTGTATAATGAAATCACTTTACTTTGATAAACTAATCACATTTCTATTGTATGATATATTGTCAGTTTCAAACTTATCCATTTCATCAATTGTATGTATGTATGTTCATTAAAGTTAATAAAAGAAGATGCCAGCAGTTGTATCTGGAAGTCCAGCTCAGATTTCTCAATTGAGAATACAGTTTTAAAAATGCTTTTATGTCTTTGGAATATGTTAAAATAATTACTTTTTATCTGCTGGTTTAATGTAGTACAACCTACACTTTCTATTTATTTTATTTTAATTAATATTTTGAAGTCAGAATATATTATCTTAATATTTTGATGGGTTTTAAAGGAACAAGCTTATTAGTTTGAGAAGTATAAAAATAATTCTACTGGCTCAAAGCCAGCTCCAGTTTTGCCGTCACCAGACTCTCACAACTACTTAATTGCTGCTCATCTTTATATCTGCTGTCACTGGTTGACTTACATAGAACTGGAATGAGTTCAACCAATAAAATTTGGCTTTTCCATTTCTTCTCATATTGTAAGCCTGTTCTCTCATTTTTTTTCTTTTCTACTTTTAACATCATACCGATATAACATTTTGAGTTTATAGATATGACTAGTTCAGTGAAAGAGTGCTTACTTACTACATTTTTACAAACTTTTTTTAATTTTAAATCAAGTTTCAAGGTTCTTTTCTCTTGACTAGTGATTAAGAAGTGTTTACTTGTAGAATGGCAGCATGTATTTTAAATGTAAGTTTAGTCCTGTTCCAGCAATAGGCTGTTTGTGTATAAAGGCTTGTAGTATTACCATGGTTTACAACATTTTTATACATGTTGTAGCCTTATAAGTCATAGGTTTTTACTGAAGGCAAGACAGTCTTCCTGTCCAAACCTCAAGATATGGATAGCCCTGTAATTTTTTTTCAATACAAATATATTCTTATGGAGTGTGAGTGAAAAAGTGGGTAAGATGTAAGAGGTTTCAGCCTTATTAATAAATTCAAATTTAAATAAAACTCACCTGTGTTGTTTTTGATGACCAATACATTATCCGTACAATATTTGTATTAAACTTTAATGAATTAAGGGGTTTGGGTTGGCTCTATGGTAGAGCTTGGGATTTCAGAGCTGGCAAGCCAGATTTAAATTTATGTGATACCACAAAATATTCTTCTCATTTTAAACTGTTGGTGCATTATAAGAATGACAGTCAATTCCTTCATATGGGTGCTGCTGACTGGTCAGTAATTCAAAATTAGGAATGGTAGCAGATAGCCTTAGTAGTAGCTTTGCAATAAATACCAAATACAAATATAGAACTCATAAGCACGAATTAAAAATACCTGAAATTAATATGGTATAAAATGTTACAGAAGAATTTGCTTGTCATAATACAGAGTTAATTGTACAATTGAAATAAACTGCAAGAAAGAAAAATACAAAGAGTAACAAATAATTTTTTTTTGGGGGGGGGAATAAGACAGTATTTTAATGCTAATAAATATACAAAGGTATGATGAATTAAGGAAAAATAAATGTAATTTTTAAAATATCTCGTATGCTTACAGGAATGTTTACAAATTTTTGAGTGCAGTGTATTTAAATCTTCTATTCATAGTCAACAAGAGCCATCTAAAAAGATTTAAATCACAGTATAGTTAAGGTGTGTCACAAGTATAATAATGTCTCGGGGAACGTGAGGAAAATCCAGCAGGACAAGAAATCTTCAAATTCTAGAGATCTTGGGTATAATGAACAGAAAACCCACTTTCAGAAAGTTAGCTCTGTGTTCTATGTCTGATAATCCTTCAGGCTGAAAGTGAAAAAAATCTTCAAATTCTGAAGATATTGGCTATTCTTAACTTAATACTACTCTTAATAAGATGGATCTGTGTTCAGGGCTGTCTTAATGACATTGGAGGGCATAGTGTACATTGATGGCCTCTACTATATCACAGTAGGAAATATATTTTGTTGTTGTTGATTGAGTTATCTTGTTTTACTTTGTGGGTTCAGATGTTTTCCTTTGAGCTTTGAGTTGAAACCAAAAAACAGATAATTGAGAAGCATTTCAAAATTTATCTTTCTTTGAGATAATTTCTTTTAGGATTGCACTCCTAAATATACTACTACATATTGCTGAAGAGAAATAATTTATCGATATCATACATGTTAAGTATGTCTTAATCAGTATATGTTCGTGGAAAACATTTTTTAAACATTGCTGCTTGGGCATGCACTCAGTTTGTCCATATCTTACAATGTCACTATCTGTGTTGCCAATGCTGTATGAGATTTTCATAATTCTTCCTGCTGAAAATAATAGATTTATTTAGAGATCAACTACCTGAAACCAAATTAGAATTGAGAACAGCCCTACATCTCATGAGAAGAACATTTATTATAAAAATATTCCAGACTTTATGCATCAATAGCATTAATCAGATATGCCACACAAGAAAACGTACAACCCAACAGCAACTATGTCGATTTATGCCCTAACATATTGTTTTAACCCATGGACCCATCTGGATTTTTAAACTAATTAAACACCAAACTGCCATGAATTTGTTGGTTGCAGAATCTTCAATAATATAAGTCTCTCACACACAAAAAAGAGCAACCAAAATTGTTTCAATATTATAATTAACTTGGATACAAGATAATAAAGCATAAGTTAATAAATCTAAATAAACTCTTAGTTTATTTTGTGCAACTTTTTGAACAGGCACCTTTCGTTGGGCAGCAAAGACCATATTCAATGTGTTAAACAAAAACATAAAATTACTCCACCTGTGGTATGTAAACAAGTCAGTAATTTAAGGGTTAATATTTTTAAAAAAAACTTTAGACTGGTTATATGACAAAAAATTTTCCTGCTGAAAATGAAAACATCTTTTAATTTTGGATATCTTTGCTATATTGAACAGTGAACCCCCTCTGGATTATGAGGCTCTGCATTACCTTCAGACTGAGAGTGAAAGAAATCTTCAAATTTTAAAGATCTTTACTTTTAGCTATACCAACTTTGGGTCTGATTCTTTAATTTAAAAATGTTTTAAGATAGTTTTATTACACCGAGTTCATTGTAAGTTCAAGGATAACTAATAGAAGAAATCAGGATTAATAAGGCCAGTAATTTAACCATTGATGTTTCTCTACTTTGTCATTGGTTACTTAAACTAACACTCCAATTGTAATAGAACAACACATTTTTCAAACCAAGGATTTACAGAATGCAAAATACACAGTACTGATCAAATATACAACAAATTACTTTACCAATAAGGATGTAATCACAGTCTGATTCTGCAATTAATTTTTTTCTTTCAGAGCTTCTCATCAGTTTTAAGCAAATGACACATTACATCATCATCTTCACGTAAATTCCTGTTTTGTTCAAACCATGTGAATATGTCTTTCAAGTTAGAATGTGCTTTGTTCAGACTGAAAGGCTTGATTGGTGTATCACTTTCAATGTCGGATTCACTGTCACAAGAGACAGTTGAAATGATGTCTTCAGTTGACAACTCTTGACCAGTTGGCTCTGCTGTGTCAATAATTAGACCGTGGTAAGCTGATATATCATCATTACAATTTTTAGTGATTGTGTTTTAATCAGCACTTGCCGCTTCACCTTCAAACTTTGCTTTATTTATACTAAAGTGTCTTGAAACATCACAGTCATCCCCTGGAGTACTTAAACTGTTACACCAGCTGTTGTCCAAGTTCATTAGCATACTCAATAAGCATTTCATCATTAACACACTCATCTCTTGATGTAGCATCATACACCTAAAAATACAGAGCTTGCTTCAAGTTTACACGCTTTGAACATCTTGGCCTTATTTGTCCTGAATCTTCCGTAATATTTATCCACTTCTCTTTGCTGCAAAAAATGTCAGATATGATTGACTTTGTCCAGAGAACATTTATTTCTATACTAAAGTGCTTACCAATGATATCAAGATTTATACTTGGTTTTACTTGCTTGTATAAACAAACATAATGTTTTAATTATGCAGATATTTCCAAGTGTCTTCATTTTGTAACGCGAGTCATTCCAATGACCTCTAGATATCTGTTATAGATTATATATACATCCCCATTGTGAAAGCCAGTCTCAGAAAAAACTTATAAATTGGTACCCACTGTGAGTGACAGTTGTTTTCACAAATATTATTGTAAACTAGTACCCAATAGTTAAAACAGGTGTTTTTTGGTCATTACCTCATTTTCTGTTCTGATTAACCACTTAATGACTCATGTGGAGTCATGTTAGGATTATCAAATCTTGTCTCCATAAGAAACTCATGTTTGTTCACATTTGGGACACAAATATATGGAGTATTGATTAAATTTCCTATATATATGAAAAATTAGCCAGATTGTTGATTTCCAGACTAATGAATGTTCACTGTGTATAAACGGTGCTAAATTTAGCCTGAATGCATTTCTGTGGAGCACTATTTAAATACATGAAATTATCTTTTATACACTAGGAAATCTGTGAAGGTAGATTTCAAATGTTACATACATTGTATGTATGGCTGCTCACCTTGGAGAGTGTACCCCACTAATTGAAACAATGCATTCTAATCTTTGTAAATAAAATATTTAACAAAAGTACATTGCCGAGTTCATTTTAGTTGTGATATAAGTAGCTTTTTCTGATCAGAAGTTAATAGTAATTATTTACAGCATTAATACATGGTTATTTCACACACCTATAACACAAAATTGAGCATTTTTATAATTAAAATGAATTTCAAAAAGGTATTCAAATTATCTACACATAACCATGACTATCAAACTAAGCCTATATCTTATCACCTGCTGTGCTTCTTCCAAGACATTATTACTCTCGTTAACTGAATCATACCATGTACAATTATTCCTTTAGTCAGTAATTGTTTTACACATGCTAAGAACACTGTTATTGTGGCTGTTAAGCTTTAGACCTTATTTCATTGGAGGCTGAAAAATAGATGTGGGGAGAAAGGTAAGGTATGTCCATATGAAGGTAGGTATAAGAAATTAGTTTTAATTCTGCAAGTGGGAAAATTCAACTGATTTAAATAACTTATAAATAAAAAAAATTTAAAAGCTCACCATTAGAGAGGAAACTGGAAATAAGTAGAAAAAGTATTGTTCTTGAATGGGGAAGGGAGTAATTAACTACTTACAAAGCCTAACATCAATCATCAAAAGTTAAAGGGACAGGTTGCTTTAGGAGACATTAGGACCACTTTCGAAAAGAGGGTCAATGCAAAAAGACCAAAAACAAAGTCAGTGAAAGAATGAGAGAAGAGTCAGACAAGAAATAATTTAAAACTAATATAAAACAAATTTAGCATTTAAAAATAAAAGAGGAGGATGAGAAGAAGAGAAAGAGAGACCATGAACATACAATTTTGACAGTAATGATGATAAATGACCACTTGGATTGGTAAACCCACATGGTGAAAGGATAGCAAAAATGGGCCAACATCTACCTACTTGTGGAAAAAAACTTGGATCCTAATAAAAAAAACAACTGTGAAGATGATGCTGTGGTGCATCCTGGTAAACAAACAAACAAACTTTACGGTTGCATAAAAGTTAGGCTGTAGAGAAAGGTCCTCCCGAGTCTACCTGAGAAGAATAAGAAATCAAGGCTGAGCCATCAATCGCATAAAGAATCTGGCAAAGGAAATCCCATATTTAAGTTATAACTCGTGAGAAAAGTGTAAAAAATATGAGTTATAAAGAACATTTATACCCAGAACAAAGAAGTCTGGAACATTAGATAAAAAAAAAAGAGAAATCTTGTAGTTGAGCAACATAATAAATGTTGGACGTGATTGTAACACATCGAAAGACCACTCCGTAGGAACATTATGAGATGGGCAAGATAATTGATTTGCCAAAAGATTCATAACATGACAGAAGTAAATCAGATACAAGTTATACTGAGCCAAAAATAAGAGCTCCAAATAAAATAAAAGACTGAAATCTCCCATTAAAAGTAAAGCATTCCAATGGAGTTGTCCAAGTGAAGAAGTACCATGTGGCCCAATATGAAAAAAAGAGAAGTTGTTTGAAATTCAACAAACAACCAACAACTTCAAAATAATGGTATACAAAAATTTATTTAGCGATCAACTACCTGAAACGTAATAGGAATTGAGAACAACCTCACATCTCATGAGAAGAACATTTATTATAAAAATATTCCAGATTTTATGCATCAATAGCATTAATTAGATATGCCACACAAGAAAAAGTACAACCCAATAGCAACTATGTCGATTAATATCTCAGCGTATTGTTTTAATCCATGGACCCATCTGGATTTTTAAACAAATTTTTCTAAACTAATTAAACACCAAACTGCCATGAATTTGTTGGTTGCAGATTCTCACACACACAAAAAAGAGCAACCAAAATAGTTTCAATATTATAATTAAGTGGAATACAAGATAATAAAGGAGAAGTTAATAAATCTAAATAGACTCTTTTTAGTTTTATTTTGTGCAATTTTTTGGGCAGGCAGCAAAGACCACTTACAATGCGTTAAACAAAAAAATAAAATTACTCCACCTGTGGTATGTAAACAAGTCAATAATTTGAAGGTTAATATTTTCAAAAAAACACTTCAGACTGGTTATATGACAAAAAATTAGTTTATTCAGCTCATCAGTGAACATTTACTTACACTAAAATACAAGCAATGTCCTGGAGACAAGGTACTGGTAGGTTTACAACTGGGCTTACTAGTTTTTAGTATACTGAGTACATACTTTAGCCCAAGCCGGTCACTGTTACTTAAAAGAAATAACTGGAATCTTTTACAGTGTTGATTTTTTAATCAATTTAAAGTTTAATAAGTTTTGCTCCATATTACTTCCTTATACTCAACTCATGTGCAATTGCTTTAACAATTTTTATTTCAAAACAATAGCAAGCAAGAGGAAAATCAATTTTTTTATTCGTATAGATAGCAAAATTATTTTGCCCAACAGTAAAATCAAACAAAAACAAGTTATAATACAAACTCCCCATAAGCTGAATCACAATGAAATAAAAGAATTCAGCTTACACATTCCTTGATGGCCTGAATGTGACACTGTTTTGAAGACGGAGCAACTAAGGTAAATTTGAATTGAAATTCTGTTAGAATCACTACTTTTAAGGCCTTCAATTAACTTCAGGTCAATTATCAAAACTAAAAAATATTTTTCAACTTCAAACTCCATACAAGTAATACAAAAAAAAGTATGAGTAAATCAAATCAATACTAACAAATTGTCTAAGAAATATGCTACTATTAAAATCCTGTTCAGGAAGAAGAATTTTAGCACCAAACAGTGTTGCTTGGCAATTTATGGTTATCTTATATTGGTTGATGAATTGTTCAATCTATATATATACACTCAAAATATCAAAAGCATCATTTTAACTGCATATCTTAATCCTAAGCATTATTTTTATCATGTGCAATATAACCATAACATACAAACAGCAAAATGTTTGACTTTGAATTTAGTTGTAAACATTAAAAACTTACATCACTTAAATAAAGACCATCTGTGCATAGATTCTATGCGCTGTTGCTATGAAATGAATGAACAAGAGAGCTTAAAGTAACTTTCACAAGTCTTGCATCAATACTTATGAATTAATATTAATTAAATTTGCAGTTGTACTAAAATCCATTCAAAAACATACAAAAAAAAGTAAAACCTCAATATTTATTATCAATCATATTGGGTCATCATATCCTTCAAGTAAATGGTATGTTATTTTCTGTCATAACAACTGTTGTAAATTAAAATACTAAAAAATACATAATGTATCTTTTATCTATTTTATTATGTAAATGTAATTAATTTTATATACCTATTATACTGTACTTTCTATGATATCAGGTCACTTAGTTCACATTAAGCTTTAGTATTTCTATGCACGTGCTGATCATCAGACCTAATTTTGGAAAATATTAAAATATGTTAGTGTGCACTATAGACCTAAATAAAACATTGCGTATCAGAACTCATTTATTCCTTCCACTTTAACCTAGAGAAGCAGGAAGGTTGCATAGTATGGTATAACTGAATGTGTCAACAAATACATCTTTGGGATGACTTCTACTTCATTTCAATTATCCCAATCTTATTAATTTGTTTGCTCTTTTTTATATTCACTAGTTTAATATACAAATGAAAGTGTTACGCATAAAAAATCAAAACTTATCAGTCTCTTAAACTCTTAGATAGTAAATTTCTATTACTTTTACCATCATTATTTTACTAGAAATTTTTTTTGTCTTTCATGAAAATGTTAAAAACTTAAATTGACATACGCATGTACCACCTAACTGAATATCAACAATATCACCACCAGAGTGGTCAATGTGATAATTTTGTTGAACCAAATTTTACACAAACTGCTAATCTACACTCTGATAGGTTCCAATCTATAGATTTCTTGAAGTGAGAACTCCAAATTTATTAAATTACAATCAATAACTATAAATTTACCGTAGTGTAAGATGCTCAAACTAGCGAAATAAGGAGTATCATTTAAACTTAACAAATGGGATAAATTCACCACTGACTGCAGAAGTTTTAAACAGTCTCCTCTTAATTTGTCTATTATGGATTTTATATCAAGAGGTGACAAAAAAAAAAAAAAAAAAAAAACCCAAGTAGTTTGAAGCTATCTATTTTTATTACTATCAAAGTGGTCAATACTGATGGCAACAGAGAAGACATATAAAATTTATTTTTTGTAAAGAAAAAACTTAAATTATCTGCTTTGGACATTTTAGATGTACAAGATTGTATGATCTATTTTTCAAAGGAATTTTGTAGTCCCTATGTTGAAATAAGCTTAAATGCTCACACTGAAAGCACTATCAGCACTTTAGATTCCAGGATATAAAAACAATGGTATTTTAATATGACACGTGAATAAGTCGCAACTCTCTTACCTTTATAACAGGTTTGTTAATTTAACAAGACTTTGTACTTAATCATTTACAAAAGCTATGGATATGGGTATTACTCATTATCTTCATCCAGTGTAAATAGATTTACTCTACGAAGGAGGTTGCATAATCGATAATCTACATCATCATAACAGTGGGAACTACCATGGTTTAGGTTGCTTGTTTTTGTCTTTACAAGGAAGTCAAAATACTAATATCATCATTAGTCTGGAAACCCACATTAGAATTTTATCATTAGTATTTTGTAAGAATAAAACAATTTCTCATAAGTCATTCTCACAGTATCTTGTTTTTACAAACATTCATGAATGAAAATAAACTTACTATTTTAAGTACAGTAATGTACAACTAATCTGACATATGAATTACTACACAATACACTACATTGCATCATTTTTCAACAACTCAAAAAATTAAACATTATGCTAAACAAATTATCAGTTTTAATACCCAATGGCCATCCTCCACTGTTTTAGTGCTGAATGAACATCATATATACTTACATGTTCATGTGTTGAATTTTTAGCAATAATACCATTCTAACACCTGCATTAAAAGCATTACAATAAAATGTATGTACACATGTGGGAAGAAAATGGAGTGATGATAGTAAAGTTAGGCCTAATATTAAAACAGTAAAATTCCTTTTTCATTTCAGCAAATTACATTTCATATTACGAGGTAACATACTATTAATGTTTAGTTCTAATTGTACCATAAATTTAATTAGTATTTTCTTAATTAAATATTGTGAAATGGAGATTACCTTGTAAGGCTATCGCAAATAAGATAGATTAATACCATGAACTGAGGAACCTAAATATAAATGGATAATGCTCAAAAACTTGCTCCTTGGTATTAATAACATGAATACTTCCTTTTTTTTTTTTAGTTTGCTGTTAAACATGTTGTAGAATTAGGATTAGCACATTTTTATTTTATGAATCTGTTTTCATTATTTTTTCGTTTTAAATTTTGTCATAATGACAGAAATACTTTAACGTATCTCAAAGAAGTATTTTACACTCTTGTTTCTTTTATACCTCTGAGAGACATACATATTAACTTAATTAACTACACAAATGTGTACAAGAACTATACTTATATCAAAGTTGAGTGATGCTATCACTTTGGGTAAGACAACACAATGGAATAATAAATAGTAATTATAGCAATTCAAAAAGCTCAGAAATTTTCAGAGGTTGCTCTCTTTTTTGCTTAAAAAATACAATAAAAGGGGATCACCCTTCAAAAGCATTCAAAACTTTGGGGTCAGGAAACATCATTGTGAGGCTTCCAGCTCAAAAATGGCACACAAAAGTATGACAACTACATATGCATTTTTTTGTGTTGTTTGTAGAGGTAGAAATCAAGTTTTTATTATGAGAAATAAGAATAACTTACTCTGTATGAACATTGCACGTAGCATTATCTCTACACAGTAAAACTATAATACAGCTTTCAGAGTGCAATGTAGGTAATACATTAATACATATTATTTCTGAATGACATTAATATTTTATTACATGTTTCAGTTTTTTTTTTAAACTGTACGTATATTTCACCATAAGTTTTACCTTTAAGAACACTTGTGAAACCATCAACAGCAACATAAATCCCATACTTAATTTCTGTTTTAATTTTTCCATACCTTCTGAAATATGATCTCGAGATACATGATTAATCATGACATTGGGCTAAGCCTGTCATGCAAAACTCAAACATCAGTTTCTGTGATAAGTTACAAATAACCAGTCCATTTGAGTTAAGAATGTGTAGTATAAACATCTGTAAAGCTCATGCTTTTGGAGGTAATCCTAGGTTAAAATTGAGGTAAACATTATTTTTCAAACTTCATGTATAACTTAAAAATATGCCACTACTTTAAAAAATACAATTTTACATTTCATCTCCCATTTCTTTACCACAACTTCATGCTTTACAAAATAAAAATGAAAGCCTGCATAATTCATCCAATGTCTACACCCTATCTTTGTACAATGTTAAACATAAGATTTATTCATCAAACACAGATAATCTACTTGTCTTTTCTATAAAATATGATGAAAGTTTAGGTTATATTCTTCTAATTAATCACTGGTTTGTATAGATACACAGAAATCTGATTGAAATGTACAACCTAACCCAAAGAGGTTAGGTGGTCTAGGACGGCAACACTATGGAGTTGGTCAACATTTCTTGTATGATGATTTTAAAATAAACAGTAATTAGGTAAGGTTAATACCTAAGTGACAGGATAATAACTAGAGGAAAACGATACTTGGTTTCCTCATTACTTGTATTAAGTTTGAGACCCATATAGTTTCTATTTTATGAAACTTAATTAAAAGTGCTTTACTAACCATTAAAGTATGTCCCAAATAGTGTTAATAATTATTAGTGTTTAATTTAATTTTTACCTTTTTTAAACATTTTAATCAAAATCATTTCATTTTACTTTAAGTTATTATTAAATACTACTGCTCAAAATGTAACACAATGCTAGAACATTTTACCTTGAAATGAAAATGCAAAAGGAATAACATCCTGTACATTGTGAAACAAAAAAAATCTATAAAATATCTACAGGTAGCCTTCTAAAGATTAATTGCTATTAAGTAATAAAAATGCTAATAGGTTTACATATGAATAAATTACTTTAAATTTAGATTATTTTACTAAATTCCAAGATATAAACTATAACAAAATCATGCATGACACAATCTGTAATTGATTAATGAAAAATTTTATTGAAAAAAATGTTTAACACAAGTTAAGGCCATGTAAAATTTAATACTTGGTTCTATGGTGTGTTTTTTTTTTAAAACCACAGTACTTTTTGTATGTGTAAAAACCAGGCTACAAGACCACAATAAAACATACATCAGCATTTTTGGAAACAATGTTATTGTACTCTGACTCAGAAAAAGACCAATATGTCTTTTAAATAAGTGACTTAGTTTATAATCAGCACTGTATTATCATGTGTAATTCATTCAAAGTGAGTACTTTTTAGCATTTATATTTTTGGAGGAAATGTACAGTTACACACCCTGCAGTTCAGTGGTTCATGAATGAGCGCTTTAACTCGGTGTGTCTGAAAAGTTCTGATAGAAAAAAAAGCCTTCTCTGCCTCAGTCTTAACAGGCAAATTGTGGATAAAATGCCCTCATACCATTTACACTGAAAAACCCTTCAGGTGTAAAGGATGAGGTGTTTAAAAATGTTTCTTATCTTCTTGCAATATTTTACAACATTAATAACAGCCCCCCCCAAAAATAAACAACAACAACAAAAAAAACAAAAACTAATTTACTTTAACAATAATGTTTATTAACAATGTACTGGTATACGCTCCCAGAGATGGACATAGTCAGGGAATCACAATTCTGCCATGGCCTGGCCAATCACTAGATATGAACCCCTGTTGAGCATACGAGTTATTTTACACAGACCCCTATGACAGCACCCCAGTTTTTTTGTGATCTATTAATAAACAGCAGCAAGGTCAAATGAAATAAGTAAGCTTAGTATTAGTACTCATATGACATTTTAATATTCCTTCTTGTGTTCTAGTTATGTTGTGTTTTTTAGCACTTTATGCACTAATACAGTGGTTCCTAGGTGAGGTTCACAGGGAGTTTACAGCTGGTCCATAAGATTCATAAAAAAAGAAATATGTGTTTTAAAATACAGTTACTGAAGTATATTGTTTTACAATGGAACTTAAAAGTTCTTTAAGAAATTAATATTGTACAAAGGAGTCTGTGATATTTTTGGATCATAACTAAACTAGTCCTCAGGTGGAAAAGGGTTAGGAACCACTGCACTGATAGCAGTAGAATACTAATGTACAGTCGATATGTGAACGGTGCAACTATTCCACTGAAACTCTGCAATAAAGCTGGACTAACATTTTCTAAATTAACAGTACTTCAATATGAAGGCCTTCTGATTACACCACATTCACACTTCAAGATGTTGGTTAGTAAATATTTTCTTTTTTTAGGAAATATTAGAAATTTGAATTAATTTTTTCTATTTTGTTAATTTATGGCCAAATAACTAGATTTTTGACTAAAGATTATTAGAAATTATTCAAAATTTCTGAAATCACCCAAAGAGCACAAGAACCAAAAATTCAATTGTACATGACCTAAACCTTCCTCATTACCCTTTTTTTTTTGTTGTTATCAGAGATTAATAATTTTAAGATAGTCTATTTTAAGCTGTGAGAAAGTTATAATCTGCCTTATATGTTTAATTGTCAAGTTTAATAAACATTAAAAAGATTATTCAAGAGTAAAATGTCTACAAGTTAAAATTATTCCATAATACATTTTGGTAAAGTTAGAATCTTTAATGTTGAAAATGTGTACTCTTTTCACATGTCAAATACACATAATTAAGGAGAAGAAAATCTCAGGTAATTTAATATTAAAATTCCAGCTATAACAAAAAGAACAGTCAGCTTATTACTGTTTCTACAAAAGATGCATGATGATATCTTATTTACATGATGATAAGGTTTATTAACCAGCATATTCCATCAGGACACATTTTTCACTGACTTTTTCATACACTGGTATGATCTTCTACAGTAACTTGGTGTCTATATTCACCTCATACTTGTGTACATTTTCTAGCTTCTACTTGAGGTTGAGCCCACTCCACAAAATCATCTAGAAGTACAGGCCAAGCCCCTGCATAAAAAAAACAAAAAACCATTGAACAAAATATTAACTTCTCACAGACTTAAATACTTATAAATTTCAAGAAATGTATCTCTTTAAATATTTTCTTGAGCAGTAAGAAATATTACTTGTAGCGTACATTGTTGTTTTACAAGTCAAATATGATATTTCAATGGATCATCTTATTTTGTAAGTGTTGAAATACTAGCTTTCACTTCAACCATGTTAAAAAAGTTGAGATATTACAGCTACATTTTGTGACCTTTTCACGAAATGTGATTTAACATAAAGTTTTTGTTTTACAGGAAGAAGACAAGAAAGGTTCACTTTCTGAAATTATTAAATAAATGTAATGTAATTATTGGCCATAATGTAGTTATTACTGCATGCTACCCACACCTGACTGACAAAGTACAAGTCTAGAAGGTTTATTTAGTAGTAGAGCTTTTAATAATAATAATAGTTAGCTTGAACCAAGAATAATAACGGTTTCAATGAGATCCTTCATGGAACCACTTTAGTATAATGAATAACATTTGCAAGTGTGAAATGTATGTATGGATATGAACACATACACAGATTCTATTTTATCAAAGTGACAGAATCAAGTTTGTATCAGAAATAAATTTGAATGATAAACAAATTCTTTCACCTTTTCGGACAAAACAAAACCATAATTTACAAGGGAGGTTCAAATTCTTGCAATTTCCACGATTCTCAAATTTGTAAATTCTTTGTTGAAAGTAAGACAATTATTTCATAAAACTATTATTCAGTTACTACTATAGTCAATTTAGCAGCTTAAAATATAAACAGTTCAGTCTATGAAATTTGAGCATGGAGTCTAAAGCAAAAAAGTTCCACAATAAGCAAATTCACAACAAATGCCACGGTATATTTTGAATGTATTATTCCACACAAAGATACACTTAATACACAAGTGGGGTATAAGGCAAGCATCCTCATAAAGTGAAAAACAAAAACTTACATTGGGATTTTCTACTTATTAAATGTTTTTAAAATCATAAAATTAGAGACAGCTTTCCAAGTTAAACCTCAGGAATGAGCTTTTTCAAATTTTAAGACTACATTTTTACACAAGTTATAATTTTTTCAAATACTTAAGGAATCTAGCACAATTCCAGGCAATATAATATTAGCTTCTTATCGATAGGACTATTAGCTTGGAATAAATTTTCAATTTATGTCTAACAAGTTGTGAATAAGCATAATTTAGTTTTTTAACAAATAATTTTAACAATTAATATTTCCTGAGAATTTTTCTTTATACACAACATTATTCCAATTAAAAATAACTAATTAAGAGTGAAGCCCTTGAGTAAAATTTCTCTAAATTTAATTAATTTTAGTCAGTTTCCTCACACATTTTTGTAGCTTCCTAGTCCTGTAGATGAAATTTTAAAATAACTTAAAAACGTAAAGGGATTTTTAACATCTACGGCCCTCAAACAGATGCTTGCTTAACACTAAAAAAAACAATTCTATATAGCAATTTTACTAAATTTTGTTTTCCTGAAATTTCAAAATTTAATAAGTGAGAGCAATATATTTTTGTTCTTTGTAATAATACACTTATTTATTTTTACACAAACAATCATTCTTTTTTTACCTTTTAATTACTGCTGATGAATTTACTGAACAAATGTAGCAAAAAATTAAAATACAATCTTTTTTTAACTGTTAAGTTTTTTTAACCCTTTCACTGTCATGGGTTCATAGTTGAGACACACTACACAACTTGTGTGTTTTTGCCTAGAAATGCGTCAATTATTTGGTGAGTTAGTGATTTTGTACCACCATGAAGAAAGAGTTTTCCCATTAAAATTTCAAAAGTTTACCATTTTCAAATTTCAGATAAGTGATGAAATATTAAATCTTTCTTTTTTGTTTTTTATTATGTATCTAACAATAAACTTGGCAATAGGAGTTTAATTCATAAACGTAACTGTGAAACAATTAAAAATCCTGATACTTAAAATTATTTTATGTTGAATGCCAAGCTTACACTGAACAAATTACAACGAGTCCGCTGAGTAAAACCATACCTTCTTCATCGTAATTGCTCATTTCATCATTAATCATAGTGCTGAAGTCAAGTAGCAGGTTCCATGTATCTTTGGGAATGGCTCTTCTGTGATGTTCCTAATTGTGTAAAGTTAACACATACTTATAAAATATGCCCTAAAAAACAAAGGATAAGAAAGCTTACAAACTCACTTTTTTGACACATCCCTCTATGTGTGTGTGTGTGTGTGTGTGATCCCTATTGTTTTGTTACTTGTATATTTATGTTACTAAACCTGTATTTACTATGGACACAAACACAAGTTTCCTCAATTTAATAAAAGCATATCAGATAAAGATTAATTCAAAGAAAAGGATAGGGAAATTACAAACTGTTGAAGGAGTTGAAACACAAAATGTCCATAAAAATTAATATATACATATATATATATAACCTAAACTAACTTGTTTCATTTCACTTTTCAAACTATCTCTTTGAACAAATCTGTGAACTGGACCCTAAGAATTTCATTAAAAAAAAAGAATTCATTCTGACTTTTGCCAATTTTTCATTGTTAAAGTTCTAAATGAAAAGCATCTTTTCAAGTTACCAGAAATTTTCAAGGAAAGTTCAACACACAAAGATGTAAGTAATACACACACACACAGCCTGACAATAAGTAAATAGACACCCAAAGAATATAAATCAACCATCTCAATCATCATGTGCATCATAATCATCAAAATTGTAATGTATAAATATAGGGATAGTGCAGTAAAAACCACAGAATAAAAACAGTCAAGTCAAACAAAAAGTTCTCAGAAATTAACTATATTTTCATGAGGATGCATAGTTATACAATGGGAGGGCAGCAAAGGTCAGGGAAAAATCCCCAGGTCACCAGGTCATTCATAGTGAATAGAATAGCAATGCAGTTCCAATCACATCAACAGTTTTTGCACAGTCCTGGCAACCAGCAGAACTGCACCGTAAGTAGAAGTGTGCAAAATCACCCACATCAAATGGGCAGGTGCAAGTGTGACCCAATACTTCAGAAATTATCTTCAAAGCATGGGCTACAATGGCACAGTAGTGAGATGGAAACCTCTTCTCAATACGGGCAATATTGTATGTCAACAGCAGTGGACATCCCAGACACTATCACGCTATCTTGCCTTTTTCGGACACTATAATGTTTTTCTGAAGAAATCAGTGGGATGCACTTGGATTTGACTATTACCCTCCCACTGAACCATCAACAAGTCATGACAAAATACAGCAGTACTTTGGTTATAAGGTAGGGTTCCATTTGAGCAATGGAAGCCAGGAATGGTCACTGCTACTTGATACATCACAGTTCTTCAGCAAAACCTTCTACTTTTCTATGTTAATGATTATCTTACCAGACAATATGGTACTTTTATAAAAAAAAGATGGGACTCATGCCCATTCAGTCTGAGTCAGAAAATGATGGCTTGAAGATCAATGCATTATTACTCTCCTTTTGCCAGTTCAACCTTGGATAAGAACCACATCAATCAACATCCTTAATCGTTACTTGGGAAAGCATCACAAATAAACTACTTTTAAGGACACCTTCATCGAAGATCTTTCTCAGAAGCGACAAGCAATCATACAAACTCAGTTTCAGATGTTGTAAGTACAATTTATAAGCATGTCTCTGTTTTAAATATTGCAAAGGGCAGAACCATAAATACTAAGATAATCTTGTACCTTTTGTTTCATGTTTATTTATTTAATAAAATGGAATTCTTTCTGGAATTGGTGTTTTTTTTTTACTTACTGGTAGGCTGTGTATATACACAAACACTCGTACAAACATGCAGAATTAAATACATCTTTTAACTTCATAAACATAACTTATAAGAAAAATATATAATCAACTGATTCATCAAGGTTGACTACATAGATGTTTCTATACCTGTAAAAACTGACACCAGAGGTCAAGGAACTTGAACTTCCCAGCTAATACAATATTCCAGTAGGCTACAGCCATGTCTAAATCTACAGTAAAAAAAAAAATTAAACACTAAGTGGTTGATCACAAAACAAGTACCAACTGTTAAGTTTAATAAATGAAAGGGTTGACCTGATCATTAAAAGTTATTTATCAACATCATCAACAAAACTAAACCATCACTAACTTTACATTTCATTATTCAAATTTCTTTTAGGATTTTAAGGAATAAAGTTACATTAGTAAAAACATTTTTATTCAAGCAACAATAGAAAAAAACTGGTTAAAGAAACTTTCTTTTTGCATAAAGGCATTATTTTTCTGTATAGATTGTAAGTATTGTACTTTTTCATATTTATTTCTGAAAATAAAGAATACTGATACTCTATAAATCTCATTCACACTTTTCAATCACACGTTAAAATCCTGTTATCATAAGGTATTAAAAGCTACATTTTGTACTCTTAACACATGTACATACGTGTACACATCTTTTATGGCTTCTATTTAAATGAATTAAAGGTCCAATCAAATTATAACCAATATTAAATACAGACCTTAAAGTTTCAGACTTCCACTTTTTTTTTCATTTTATGCCTACTTGTAAACAGGTCACACTAACTCTGTTTAAATTTTGGGTTTCCTATTTCATTTTACTTAAGTGTTGTGATACATTTGGATCTGTTTGTCAATATCTTTTGACCCCCTCGACAGCCACAACAACTGTCTCAAAAGTGTGGTAGTCTGACACGTAAGATAAAGGTAATTTATTGAAAAACAAAATACTCTGTTGCAGAGTGTTTTCCATATAAATAAATAAATATCCTATCTCCTAACGTTTTTTTTCAAATTTCAATAGCAATGGAAGAATAAAACTATTGATAAACTCAGAAATGTAATCCTTGTCAGTTTCCTTCACAAAAACATAGCTGTAAACAGAAAAAGACAAAACTCTGTTAAACTTTATTATTGTAAAGTGACAAAGATCGATGAATAAAAAATAAACAACTGAAAATTACTGGACATTTTTAATAAGGAACAAAACAAAAGTGAACATGAAATTCAACAACTGAAAATATAAAAAAATAAATAAAAATAATAATTATGATTTTGGTTATACAACAGTTTAATTTGTTATTAAACTACAATATTCCGGTTTAACAGCAAGAGCCTTTTATAAGTAGATTGTAGGTAACAACTGATCTTAGAAGGATTTCAGTTGTTCATCAGTGAAATGATTCATTTACTATAATTTAGTAACAATGTAAACACAAAAGGCAAAAGGCCTTTTTGCAAAAAAATGAACAACAAATTACAAACTTCATCCTGTTTTGTACGTAATATGACACAGGAGGTTAAAATTATTTTTCAAATTAATAATTGGACAAAAAATACAAAATGTAATAAGTTAGTTTCTTAATAATAATAATTATATTTTATGGTAAATACATAAAATCAAGTTGTATAAAAACAAACATGAATATTCTATAGTATATATATTAAAAATAACCTTTCTAGGTTTACAAATCTCTGTATAATAAATAATTGAAATACACAAATTTACCTGTGAAACGTCTGCATTTTGACTGTTGATGAAACATCATTGTTATGATATCAATACTTTTGTTATTAATGAAACGTCATTGTTTTATCGTAAATAGTTTCACTACTGAGTAAAAATCATAATTGTTTTGTCAGTATTATTTGGATGAAGACAACTATGATAGCTGGGATTATCAGTACTATGTTGACAAAGAGAACTATGATAGTTGAGATTATCAGTATTATGTTGATGAAGAGAACTATGATTTTTTACAGACATACAATGCAACAGGTATTATAAAGGTATCTGATATTTTGATTTGAACACCACATACATTTGCCTATAGAACATTTTTCTTACACAATACTAGAGCCCTTTACATTTGTAAAATGCAGGGCTGTTCACAGACTGATACTATTTCTCAATTCTATTTTAGGAAATTGTACAAAATAAGTTCATTTGTATTGACTGAATTATACCATTTTTCAATCAACAAAACTGCTAACATGGCAAATGCTTATCTTTTAAGTATACTAAACTAAGATACTTACCAAGACTTGGTAAATGCTTTTAATATAGCAAACAAGGATACTTACCAAGACTTTTTTGTCCTGGATTTTTAGCATAGTTGAAAGTGAAGTTATAAAAGTCTTTGAATTTGATTTGATCTTTTAACTCTGCTTCTATTGTTAGAAGTCTACTCTTGAGTTTCTCAATTGAGTCGCACCTAGCCAAAAAAAAAAGAGTTTTTAAAACATTTTACTCAAGTGATAATGTCACGTTTGAAAATATTTGTTTTACTACTACCCATTAACTGTGGCTGCTATAAACGTGCAGAATTTTTGCAAGCAATACATTGTATACAGCACACTTACTATCAACTGCTGGAGGCAAACCAAATCCTATATAGCTAATCAACAGTCAATGGGTTAATATACATATATATATATATTTTGTTAAACAAGACCGATGTCTGTAGGTTTACTTTCTTCTTAGAATTCTTCTCAAGAAGTCGATAAGCCGTCTTAACGTTGTTAGAACAACTGGTAAAAGTTGTATATATATATATATATAATTCATCCCATGGGTCTATTATTTATTCAATAAACTTTATTTTCCCAATATCATACTCAGTTTATAGAAGCTGTTTTTAACAACCCCACTTAAAAAAAAAATATATATATATATATATATATATACACATATTTCACATTACTCTTATTATTGTTAAATTATATAATATCATATAGTGCAGATTACAGCTGCACAATGTACAACTTATAAACTTAATAATCCCATATTTATCACTTTACATAAAACAAACAAATGCATTAACTTTCCTTTACAGTATACATTTAAAATTTTGATATGTACTTTTATTATATGAATTATTCAAACTTCTTAATTTTGGTTTTTCTCTCTTCTCTCACTATTGAAAACTATTCTTAATAATTTAGGGAAAAAACAGCATTTAGAAGTATTCTGAATATAAGAGTAATTTTTCTACAAGTCTGTTACCATCATTTAATTACTTAACCTTTTGTAATTTTTAAACAATTAATATTCATGCAACAGAACTTTGTAAAAAAAACATGCTTTTTGTAGGGAAATGTGTACACGAACTATACTTATATCAAATTTGAGTGATGCTATCACTTTGGGAAAGACAACACAATGGAATAATAAATAGTAATTATAGCAATTCAAAAAGCTCAGAAATTTTTAGGAATGAGTGCTTTAACTCAGTGTGTCTGAAAAATTTGCAAAATGCACATCAAAATAATTTGAATTCAAAAACTGTATATTTATAATCATATCACTGTTGGTTGAGACTGAACATTATGGCATAGAGGTGTAAGAAAAAGTAATAAATTTAATTTAAGCTATAACAGATAATACACAATTTTTTAACTTTAGATTACTTAAATATCTTCAAAAAATTTTATATTTAGTCTGTGACATATGTTGACTGCAAAAAAGGATTGGTTTGAGAAGAAAAATTAAGATAATTTAAATGATGTCATAGTTGAAAGTTCTTAATTTTACCCATTACTAACGTTAGTTGGAAATATTTGTGTAAATTCAAAATTTGCTAAATTTCCATGCAAGTGTTCTGCATGTAGGTATGCCATACTTGTAAACTGGATGGTAAAATGTTGTAAGCATGTAATTATTTTTCTTAGATGCAGGTTACATAAGGCAATATCTATCTTACAGAAGCTTGTAGCAATTTGATCTTGTGTCTGCGTACACTCCCTGGAGTGGGTCAAGCCGATTTCAAGAGGTATCACAGATACTTGTACAAACTGGTACAAGTTTGGGGGTCTCTCCCTTGTAAATGTTATACAGAATAGTCCTTGATGTCAGTAACCTAAAAATTGTGGGATACAGCACTAGGATCCTTTGACTGACTTGACAGGGTGGTATTGCATTATTCTTGGGTTTGTTCTTTTCTTTTACATATGTATTTGGAAGGCCTCTCAGACAAAGCTATGATAAACGTTTTTGCAAGTAAAGATTTTATTTCATAACTTCTGTCACTATAACTCTCTGCATAACATTTTTAAAAAATGCATTTTGGGGATACTTATAACTACCAGTAAAATACCATTATACCTGAATACCACAATTATATACTGAACCGCAAAAGAAACGTCGCAGTAATTAGAGGAAAAAATGATACAAGAATGAATGCCATATTTTTATTGAATGAATGTATACAAACCAAAATTATTGCACAAATTCGCATCATTACAATTCATTCACTGTTTATTGATAAAGTTTTTCACCACAATATCACCAGATCAATAAATACAAGTCACCAGTCAGTAGCATGTGTGTCCTCCATTAGCGTTGATCACGGCCCGGCATCTCCTGTACATGGAATGAATCAGACGGTTGATGAAGTTCATAGGAATGCTAGTTCTGCAGGTATGGGCTGCTTTGGAACTCCAGGCATCTTGTCCAAGACCAACGAATAACGTCCAGTTTTCTTTGAACTTAGTCCGGACTTAAACCCCATAGAACATCTGTGGGACGAAAGCTTCCTACAGTAGAACAACATAATGATTATGCCTTGGCCCTCGTAACTCTTGCAGTATGAGCACGTGCGTTGTCATGCTGGAATGTGTGGTTTTGATGGAGTGCAAAATGTGGCACAACATATGGTCGAAGAACTTGGTCGATATACCGGGCTGCATTGAGTTATTGTTATCCAGTTATTGAAGTTAAGTATATTATATAAACATGCCATTACAGTCTACGTTGCCATATCTCGTTATTGAGGCTAATTATATTATCATGTCATTACAGTTCACGTTGCAACATCTAGTTATTGAGGTTAAGTATGTTATATTAACATGTCATTACTGTCCACGATGGCATATCTAGTTATTGAGGTTAATTATATTAACATGCCATTATAGTCCACGTTGTAGGTCTAGTTAATTATTTTATATTAACATATCATTACAGTTCACATTGCCAAATCTAGTTATTGAGGTTAAGTATATTATATAAACATGTCATTACAGTCCACGTTGCCATATCTACTTATTGAGGCTAATTATATTAACATGTCATTATAGTCCACGTTCCAAGATCTAGTTATTGAGGTTAAATA